TAAAGCAGCACCATTTGTACAATAAAATGCCACAACAATTTTGAAACCACCAAATGCAACTACATGATCCTAAATGCATCTATATAAACCTAAATGTGCCCTAAGACAACCAATAACTTAAGTGAAAAGGCCCTAAATATAGACTTTTTACAGAGATATTAGTATTCTCAATTGAACGTTAATCTACTGATTGTGATATGATAAAATTTGTTCCCAGAATCTTAAACGACTATCATATTTCAGTCAGCATGTTCATGTTCAGCTTAGACAAACACCAATTTTTTAACGAAAAATGACGAGTTTGGAACATAATGAATAGTTGGGTGATCATTTTGTAACAATAGTCGAGGAACTTAATAAAGCAACATTCTATGTGAGGGACTATTTTGTAACCTTTAATAACCGAAGGATTTAATAAAATAATACCCTATAATTGAAGGACCATTTGTGTACTTTACCCTATTATAAATGCCTAATACTCAAATTTAAATAAACCTTCACTCGTACGTTTAGAGAAAGTAATAGGGTGGTAGACAAGGATGAACATATAATTTTGTGTTAGTGTTACAGAGTACGGATTTATTATATTTTCATATACATGAAACTTATAAAATATTAAAAGATAAAAATATATTGTCAATAAAAATATTTAAAATATATAAAAATTTAAATTTTTGAAAGGGAAAATCACTTATTATAAACAAATCGGCCGAAGTTACTGTATTAATCAATCATGAAGTCCAAGAGATTCACAAGTTCTTCCAAGATGATCTACGTGGTGCAAGTTTTATGCCAAGATCTTATCAAATTAAACAAAATACACGTGTTAATAAAGTCAAAGTAGTAATTTAGTAAGGATGGTGTTAAAGAGCTTATCAAGTTAAGGCATAGACCACAAAATCAGGCTCTTGCCCTTGTAACATTCTAACATAGATATAGAGTAAATACAAAATAATATTTGTTCGATGATAACTCTTAGCTATTAGATATTGAACGCTCACATCCTAGTATTTTTGGTGCTCGAACCCGAGAATTCAAGAAATAACAATAATTCTTTTACCATTGAGGTCGTTTGGTTCGTGCCGATTTTATTGTTTTTGTTCTTATATAAAGGTCTGTGAGTTTATTCTCACACATTATGTACGTGCATTTTTTTAATATGATTTGTATATTCGGGTGAAAGTAATATATCCATGAGTAGTCGTTTGTATATGCTAGCGAATTACTTACGTAATGTTGAAGAATCAGGTAAAGAAAAAAACGAAAGAACACAAGAATTTTAACGAGGTTCAGCAATGTGCTTACGTCCTTGGTGCCTAGGCGGCGCTAGAAGTTTTGTTCAATGTCCCATAGATTTAGGTTGCATCTCTATTTATAATAAATAAACCCTAGTACATAATTACAAAATTAACCATGTCCTCTTTACCGATATATTTATGAGTCATACCTAACACATAATATATATGCCATATGTTTTTTTATGAAAAAACTTTCATGTAAATATAAAGAAATATATACTTGAATTGATTTTGATTCATATAATGAGTAATGATTAAAGAAATATATGTTGGTTGTTACCTATGTTTACTTTGTCCTCTTCATTCTGTTTAGAACGCAAAGACTTGAGTGTTTAACTAATCTAAAATAATATTAATGATTTAATTAATGGTATATTCTTATTGTCTCTTTAACTTCAACGAACCTTACTATAAGTTAAGAAAGAAAGTTTTTGTTTTTCTAATGAGAAACTCATCTCCTTCTAGGCTGAGTTATTATCAGTTTATACCGTTGGACGATACAAGCTGTGTGAGAAGCTAGACAGCCAACGGAACAATGGACGGCGCCGTCGGCCGGTGAAGAAAACGACACATATCTAATAACAAAGTGTCGATAAGCAAATGACATATCTAGCCGGCGACATAGACCTTTTCCCAAGTCAAAAAGAGGTTTTTTATTTATTATTCTTATGTTTTCCCAACAAACAAACAAGACAACTATGTTCCTTGTTTTCTATCATTTGTTTGGAAATTTAAAGCCGCTTTTTGAGTTCTATAATGAATTTGAGCCCTGAATAAAAATGTATTTAAATTGATATTAATTTGAATATTAATATGTTGAACATTCATTTTTAAATTAATTGATATCAAATAAAAAATTAATAAAAATGAATTTCGACGTCAAACTTATTTTGTATAGTCTATTAAATATAGAAAAAGTCATCGAGTACAAAAATGTAGGTGGATTCTTGAATACGTCTAATGATAATGTACTATATAATACAATATTGTGTAGCAAGCAAACGCAAAACAAAAATAAAAATCTTTAAAATAAAATACAATAATTTATTTCTTTATTCATATCGGAATACATTTCGTTTCAAAACAAAAACATTAAATATACATGCTTTTAGGGTGTTCATTCGGTTAATTCGGTTGCCGAACCGACCGAACTACCATTTTCGAATTAACCGAACTTTTTTTTTTCTTTAACCGTTAACCGAACCGAATAAATTTCAGTTAATTTTCGAATTAACCAAAATTTTTTAAAATTTTCTAATTTATATAAAAATTAAATATTTTATAATTAAAAAAAACAGTTTATAATTAATTTAAATAATATATAATTATAAAATATAAATTTTATATAAAATTTTTAATTAATTAATATTGATTTAGGTTTAAAAGTTATTAGATCTTAAATTATTAATTGAGTTTTAAATGGTTTGGGCTGAGCCCGTATGTTATATATAATATATTTAATATTTTTTAATTCAGAAAAATATTTTACAATTAATTTAAATAATATATAATTATAAAATAAAAATTTATATAAATTTTTTAATTAATTAATATTGATTTAGGTTTAAAAGTTATTGGATCTTAAATTATTAATTGAATTTTAAATGGTATGGGCTGAACTCATATGTTATATATAATATATTTAATATTTAAAATTTTATTTCGGTTAATTTGGTTAATTAATCGATTTCGAACCGAATTAACCGTTAACTGAATATAAAAAAAACATTAACCGTTTCCCGACCGAACTAATTCAGTGACCGACCGAATTAACCGAATTAGTTCAGTTCGATCGGTTAATTCGGTTAAATAGAATTTTGAACACCCCTACATGCTTTTGCGTTATTTGCATTGGATTTGTCTATTTTTTTAAAAATTTATATCAATCATATAATATTATAAATATAAAATTATATTTGCATGTGGTTTTAATATATATAAAATATAATTTATATTAGTTGTTTACAAATTATTTATAATTTAAATTAATTTATGTTTTATTTTCAAACGTAAAGTTTAAAAAATATTTTATTGATTGATTTATTTATTTAGCATCGACATAAACTAATAATATTGATGGAAACTTTCATATAACCAAATGTGAACGTGGATTTATTCCCTCGGGATTGGTTGCCAAACGCAGCTACTCAATAGGAAACAACTGCACGGCATCATCTTTTTTTTTTTTATAATATTCTAAATGAACCGCAAACAACTAACTTTTGTATGTATTCTTGGGTATAATCATATGTATCTCGATATATTAATCGAGTAATTCGGATCAGATATTATAAAAGTAATGACAATTCAATTAATCCAACTTGTTTCATTCACAAACGTCATAATTTGAATTTATGATCTTACTTAAAGGATCTAATACCCCATCCCACTGAATCGACTGATTGTTGGTCTACCTTCATTTTGTGTGTATTTTCGTATTGTATTTGTGGTATCTACTTGAATTGTACCTTTTCAATATCACCTTCTTTGCTCTATAATAGTATAGGGCTAAATTTCTACGGACCATATTGTATAGAGACCTAATATTTTATAGGATAAATCATGCATTTAGTGCCTAGATTATCAGTTTTGTTCTGTTTTAGTATGTAAACTTTTAAATTTTTTTAAAATCATATTTAACGTTTAGTTTTTATCTCATTTTATTACTTCGCCGTTAAAAACTTAACGACACTGCATTTTTTAAGAGTAAATTACATCATTCATCACTTAACTATCTTCTTACTTCTATTTAGTATTAAAGTTTAAAAATATTCAATTTAACTCAACTCTCAAATTGCTTCTATTTTAATCATTCTATTTATTTTATTAATAACTTTTGTGACATGATGTTTTTATTATTATTTTATTAATATGTAAATAAAAAAATTGAAAGTTAGAGTAATTAAATTAGGAGTAATTTGAAAGTTAAGTAATTAAATTAAAAAAATTTAAACTTTAATGACTAAAATAGAAGTGAGAAGATAGTTGAGTGATGAAAGCTACAATTTACCCATAAAAAAGTGCCACATAACTATAAATTAATAGTTTAGGACTAAATACGGAATTTACCCTATTTTATATTTACAAAATAGATGAATAATTTGTATAATATGTTAATAGTATTTTCTTTATATCTTGCTTTTAATTAATTTTCTTTTTATGTTTTGATATACTATATTCGTTGTATCTTCTCTAATCAAACAAAGTTTAAAAAAGTGGTTGAAATAGGAACCAAATACTGCCATGATGACCGCATTTTCTTGCCTCCTTCCTCGATCTTAAAAAAGAAAATCAAGACTAATTATAAATTATAATATGATAACATTATTTTTTTATTAAGTTAGTGTGATTATAAAGTAATTGTATGTTTTAAATTATTCAATCATTTGATAATGAACATTCAATTATCATGTTGTAATTGTTAGTGTTCGAACCCGTAATATCTAAAAACAATAACAATATATTTAACAACTTAAATTAATTGATTCATGTTATGGTTATATTAAAATATATTAAACCCAAATGTGTATATATAGTAGGTAGAAATGAAATAGTCAAAATATACAAGCTCTCTTACACGGTCTTTGAAAGACCGACTTCTTCCTATTTCTCTGCTCTACTTGATTACAAATTATATGTATATATATATATATATATATATATATATTTGTTGTTAAGTTCCAGAGGAAAACTTGACACACAATCTGCCTTGAGAAACAATTTTCTTTTTCCTGGAAACTTGATTTTGTCTCCAAGGTGGGTAAGGCAATTCAGTTTGGACATGGAGATCAAAGCCTGGAACTTTGTCCTGTTTTCATGCCTGGTGGTTTCTTTCTTGGCTTCATCGTCTTCTGCTCAAACCTGTGTTTCCCAAACATTTTCCAACGACAGGCAATATGCCAACTGCACCGATCTTCCAGCTTTGAACAGTTATCTCCACTGGACGTATAATGAATCGGCTGGTACAGTTGAAATCGCTTTCCGACACACCGGCACCTCCTCGTCACAGTGGTCGGCGTGGGGCATCAATCCCAGTGGACCGAGAATGGTGGGTACACAGGCTTTGGTTGCCTTCGTCAACTCCAGTGGTGTGGCTCAGGCATTCACAACCTCGATTGATAGCTTGGCCCCTTCCATGCAACAGATGGATTTGAGCTTCCCGGTTCCAAGTCTTTCTGCCACGTTTGAGAGAAACGAAATGACGATAATCGCCGTTTTGAGAATCTCCCAAAACTTGTTAGCCACCAGTCAGGTTTGGCAGGAAGGTCGGGTGAGTAACGGCCAAATACAGCCTCATTCCACCACCGGGGCCAACGTTCAATCCGCTGGAAGTATCAATTTCCTCACGGGAGCATCGAGAGGGAGTTCATCAGCAGGTTCCAGAACAAGAAGAAGAAACGTAAGTTAATCCAATCTCGGATTACTAGAATTGCCAACACAAAAATTATTCATTAATTTCCAGGTTTTTAAAGTTTGGTTGCTTGAATTTTCCAGGTTCATGGAGTACTGAACACTGTCAGCTGGGGAATCTTGATGCCGTTGGGAGCCATAACAGCTAGGTACATGAAGGTGTTTAAATCTGCAGATCCTGCATGGTTTTATCTCCACGTTGCTTGCCAATCTTCAGCCTACGTTGTTGGCGTGGCTGGATGGGCGACGGGTATTAAGCTCGGCAGCGACTCTCCTGGAGTCACTTACAATCCCCATAGGACCATCGGCATCATCCTCTTCTGCTTCGGAACTCTTCAGGTAAATCTACCTCCTCGCTATCGTTATTACGTATACCAAAAGCGACTTTTTCTTCAGTTTGCCGCCAGGGGTTATATACTTGGTGGCGTTCTAAATATTTGGCTTCAACGCTACTCCAATTTGAGAATCATTAATTGTAATAATATTGACAGGTATTCGCTTTGCTTCTGAGGCCAAACAAGGACCACAAGTACAGATTGTATTGGAACATTTACCACCATTTGATTGGGTACAGTGTCATCATCCTTAGCATCGTCAACATCTTCGAGGGTTTCGACATCCTTAACCCCGATGACAAATGGGAGAGAATTTACATTGGGATTCTCATATTCTTGGGAGTTTTGGCCACATTCTTGGAAGCTTTCACTTGGTACGTTGTTATCATGAGGAAGAAGACGAATAAGCAGCCTCACACCATGAATGGAGCCAACGGACATGGATATGGTGCCACTGCCATGGGACAGCGCGTGTAGTCAAATTTTTTTTCGGTCAGTCCTAGTCTATTACACCATGTGCTTAGGATGTCTTAGATGACCCACATTTATTATTGCATCTTATTGTTTTTTTGTTGTGTTTTAGTTATGGGTTATTATGATTTGTATACACTGGAGTTTCTGTATGTACAGACTATATAGATGATGAACTCTTATACCATATGTATCCACTCTATTTTTTTATTTAATTTCATATACTAAGGTAGAATATTGGTATATACACGTTGGGCCGCTAGCTAAGTTGAAGTATGACCAATTCCTATCTTAAAAAATAAATAAAGACATTAAATAATATTTAAAATAAAAATTTAACCATTCAAATTATTAAATATTAATTTAATTTTTTAATATCATATTTTATATAAAAAGAACATGCTACATCATCAAATTCAATCAAATATATTTAAAAAGAGTAAATCTTTATTTAAACATACTTAAAAACATCAAATCTTTATTTGAACATATTAAAAAACATCGCATCCTTATTCAATTCGGTTTAAAAGATGAGAGTTTTATTTAAATCCCAAGTTTGATAAGATTTGTGCATCAGAACATTTTGACATGCTAGATTGACTTACCCCACAGACCACTAGTTCCTGTCTTTCTCTTTGATTTTCTAATCCCAAACAATGACAATCTACGAAAGATCTTAATAAGCCTAGTTACATACTTTCTTTGCGAGGCAAAATTTACAGAACCTATGCAACCCGTTAAATCTCCCCAAGGCTTCTTTCTCTTGCTTCCTGATCTTCTTTCTAAGCCATACAGTTTCATGCACTCTGATTTGGTCGGATTTGAATCTGTTTTCTTTGACATTTCATGCCATTGAAGAGTCTTCTTCAACACCATGAGCCCTTGTTCAAGGCTCTGAAGTCTAAAGCTCGTTGATTCGTAGTTTCGTAGTTTCTATCTATTGTTGGAAGGTCATCTGGTAGGACCGAGCTCAACGGTTTGCTGTTCGCCGGCTCTACTGCGTCCTTGTATGGACATTCTTCCGGGTTTCTTGAGTTTGGACATCTTGAGCTCGATGGGCTCCCGGAGAACTGACCGGTGAACCTGAACGAGTCCGAGCATTCTTTAAACGCTTGGTGGGTGTTTAGTTGTTGAACGAAAAGAGCTCGGACGATCAAACGCAGTGGCATCAGCTCATTCTGAACCGCTTCAATGCATGCCTCTTGTGATAGTTTTTGGCAGTTTAGATATTTGCAGACTGATTCCTTCTCTTCTTGTGTTATATCTCCATGTGCCTGACCAATAGGTGGAATACCGGTTTAAACATGACATGAATACACAAAATGTTTGAGGATGCCGATAAGTTATCGAAAACTTACCTGTGGTCATGCGTTTGACGGTAAGATATCGGTAATAACTCGATGAGTTCTGTGAACTTGTTAGGCTCCATTTGTGGATCAGAAGCTACATGGGAAAGGTACGTGTCCCCTAATTCTGCAACAATGAAGTTTCTTTCTGAAGGGGAAGGGTTGGTCTCCATGTTAAAAGATACAAAAGCTGAGAAAATGTTCTTAATAATGGCAAATTCCTTGATGAAATGGACTCTGTTCCAATCTGTGGAAAGAGAAGATCTTCCACTTGGGCAAAGTGTAACATAGTTGCAATCTGATCTTGCAATTTCACTTGTCTGTCGCTTGTTAATCCAAATTCTAAGGATCTAGAGAGCGCTGCGAAGTAAATTCCAACAGGAATGGCCCTACTGGCCTTTTCCCCAATGGGAAGTAAATCAAGAATCCCTTGTAAAATGACAGAAACCTTGCTCACCTGAATTTTCCCAGAATTGGTGTGTTTTCTTGGAGAGTAGCCATTTATTTGCGTAGAAAACAATGATGGGTGTCACGTATTTGTCTTTCATTCCTTGCCTTCTTAAGGAACCAATTATCCTTTTGAAGAATCCAAATGGTGAGCTATCAGATCCTTGATCCATAAGTCCTTGCTTTCTATTGCTTTCACCGTTTCGCTGCTCCAAGCCTCACTGGCCAACACTTGCAACGTAACAACCGGTATGTCCCTTTTCCTCTCCGGTTCGAGAATCTCCATGCAGGCCATAAAGGCCAGGGACTCGTTGCATTGGCTCACGATCAGCAGCTCCGAGGACCATGGGAGCAACATTTGGCATTTCTGGAGAACAATCAGTGTGTCATCCAAACTCTGCAATACCACTTGGTTTAAATAGAGATCGAATCGCTGGCAGAGGTTGCCGATGCAGTACTCTTCCGTCATTTCGAGAAACTCGGCTGCACACCCCAAGGCGGTCACATTGAAAGGGTCAACCAAAGTGGTGGATCCATAGATGAACAATGTTATCATCTCGAATGTTTCGGGCCCTCCAGGCAAATCTTGTGGCAACTCAAGCTCATTTGATTCGGTTAACCTCTTCTGAAAGTATCCACTCTTTGAAAACAACGGATGCTGGCACAAGACACAGAAAACAGCAACACAAATTTCACAGAAACTAATTGAATTTGATTGTATCTATCTGTTTTTGGCCATACCTTATGAAGGCTGAAGGTTCTTTCACTGACTCGAACACGAATAGAAACAGGAAGTCCAGTTTCTTGGCACCTGAAATAATCAAAAACTAAAAATCAGAAGACTTCTTCAACTGAAATGCAAATGTATGATGAATAACATAGAATTAGAAAGTCATTTATGTTTTCACGATGAGACGATCTTAATCTTCAGAAGGGCACTGACATTGGGTGAGGAGAAAGGACTCGAAGCTACTGAACTATCTTTCGAACTCGAAACCTCCATTGGCAATTGTTCATCATGAAACAAAAGAAACTGAGATAAAAGCTCTGCAAATACAACAAACATGCACTGCACTTCTCATTGCCATTTATCTCCTTCAACCGGCACAGCGGCACTAATAAATTGCTGACACCCGACTCGATAATCAAAGTAAAAAGGGACTACTACTATATCCAAGCTTTTAGAATCCATAAAAACACTGGAAAAGGGAAAGCATGTGAGCAAAACAAGAGTCGGTTTTATCAAGTTGTATATTTTAATATCAACTTTTATAAACCGATTGAACTAAACCCAGGTTTGAAAGTATGTTTTTGTGTTACGACAATAATGAAACAGTGAAAGTGAGATGATGCACACGAGTGCAGCTCAAAAATCCTAATTTTAAGGCATCAAAAAGGTTCCTCGAGTTGTGAGAAGATTGAATCCGTATACTTCCGCCAATAGAAAAAGGTGCAGTTTTTCTAGTTCCTTGCCTTGTCATATAAGCCTCTCAATCCATAATCCCAGTAAAAAAGAAGGTGGGGGAGATGAAGTACGGATCAAGTTATGAGAGCTTCTATAAAAGGGGGTGCTTTGAATTGTGATTTCAAACTTTTTTGCTCGCTTTCTCCCACCACATTTCAATCCCCAAAATTTTATTTTATTTTGCCATGACATAATTAATACCTTATTTGCATTTATCGGTAACAGCGAAGGACTGAATTAGTATCTAATATGTTATATTTTAGGCGTAAAACAATTTTTAATCCTTAAAATTTATAACTTTCCATAACTTCATCCCTAAAATATTTTGTTTACAATGATCTCAATTTTTTATATTTTAAATGATATTTTACTCGAAGATTATATTATACATCATTGTACTATATATTTAAGAGGACTAAATTCATATATATATATATATATATATGAAATTCAAGTACTAATATTAAAAAAATCATGAATCCATGTGTGAAAAGTTATCACAATTATCTGAAAATGTGGACTAAAGTCACAAGTTACATAAAGGATTAATTAAATATTAGATATCTAAAATATATCACTTTTCATCTAAAATAATTTTTTATCAAAATAAATATCTAAAATAATCAATTTTGTCATTTAAATATCTAAAATATTTTTTCTCAAAATAGACGTCTGAAATAGATCATCCTTTTTAGGTTCCTGACATATAACATTAATTAAAAAAATACTTTAGATACTTAAATGAAGAAAAATAACATCTTTTAAGTACCTACCTCACATAAGGTATAGTCCATGTAAAATATAGTTGCAAATGCAAACCTTACACTAGCTTAGGGATAATGCAACATAACATATTCTAACTGGCATTCGTTCTAAAACAGTGGCGCTCGTTTGGCTGAGGCTCCGTTTTGGAGAGGTTGATATTGTAGCCATAGCCATGGAGTAGATCGCGGATTTTGGAATACACAAGTGAAGGGTCGCCTTCACTGCTCTGTGATGCTCGTGAAGACTCCTGCAGCTTTATCTTTTCAAACAAATATTGTTTCTCGGCCTCTGCCTCACTCAAGCGAAGTTTCAGGTAACTGCTGGCATACTCTTCCTCCAATTTATCTGACTTCGCCAGAGCGATTCTTCGAAGCCTCTCGGCCTCTCGCTTTGCCTCATTGGCCTTTAGCTGGAACATATCAGCCTCTGCCTGTTTAAGCCTTACAATCCTCTCCAGCTCTTCCACTTGCGCCTTCTTTTTTTGTCTCTCCAGTTTCATTTCTGCCGCTTCCTTGGCCTTGTCCTCGAGCTCCCGGTCACAAGCATCAAGAGCCAAGCGAGCTTTCTTGAACATCCTCATCTTCTCGTCCCCCACCATTTCCATCTTCCTTATGGCCTCCTGCACTACATCAGCGATTCGATTGATTGCCTCTCCGGGTGCTATCAACCGTTCACCTTCCCCGTTTTCCAGACTTGTCGGAGAATCCATATCAAGCTCTATACAAAAGGAATAACAATGATTTAAACTCAAGCGATAAAAGGTTATTTATTCAGAGAACAAAAATGTTTTAGAGATGAATGTCTGGAATAGCTTGATTCGTGATCTTTCTTTAATATAAAACCTATCAAGGACCCTAGTTAATTCCTAAAAAAAATTAAGGTCTCAAACAAAATGCACAAGCCAAAATTGGGGTTGTAATCAAAGCAGGAAGGAAATTATAATGCATGACATGGTCACCTGTTGGGATGTAGGATCATCAGAAAGTTGATGAATAAATTGAAAGAAGAATGCATGCATAACTGAGCAATATTTTTCACTGGATAACCAAAAATAATCACATGATCATTTGAAAGGACAATTAAATAA